GAGACAGAGTCTTGCTCTTATTGCCCGGGCTGGAGTGCAATGGTGCCATCTAGGCTCACCGCAACCTCTGCCTCCCATATTCAAACGATTCTCCTGCCACAGCCTCCTGAGTAGCTGGGATTACAGGCACCTGCCACCATGCTCTGCTAATTTTTTGAATTTTTAGTGGAGATGGGGTTTTACTATATTGATCAGGCTAGTCTCAAACTCCTGACCTCAGGTGATCCACCCACCTTGGCCTCCCAAAGTGCTGGGATTACAAGTGTGAGCCACTGCACCCTGCCTGTTTTGTACTGTTGATTTGTTTTTGACCTTCTTCTAAACAGTTCTGCAATCCAAGGGAATGCCAGAGGTCCACAGTGGCCCCACAAATAGGTCAGTTACACTCTGGAGACAGGTGGTGTGAAAAATGGCCTGAGCTTTATGCTCAGTGAGAGAATTTGAGTACACCGCACTCAGCATATTTAATGTATGGATCTGTTAGCCAAGGTTGTTATCCAGGCTCCACTGTTTAAAATATTTAGAAAGGCGATTGAGAACCTGAATTTTTTTTTACTTTTGAATTCCCTTAGTGTCTGCAGACATTGTAGCTGACTGCATTGCCGTCTCTATAATTGGCTGTGACAGTGACCATTTACTCCTTACCCGAGTATATTTGGCTTGTCTTGAAACAAGTGGATTTTCTTGGCACTTTCAGGTCCTGTCATATTTGATTTGCTCATTCATATAGTAGTTTGAATTCTTAGGTGTAGTCCAGTGGGAGTTCCTGAAAAGCTGGAAATACTCCCAGCCTATCTTCTTCCTGACCCTCCCATCACTGACAGCCTTCATATGCCTATTGTGGAATATGCTGAGATTGGAGAATCACTTAGTGCCTTGATTTCGACTTCTGCAAAGTAAGGACAAAGCTCTCTGTCCTACTCACTCCATAAGATGGCTAAGCTCAAAAAAAATATGAGTGGAGAGGTACCAGGAAGTGTTAAAAGCATTATTAAGATGTAAACTTCTGAGTTGGGATTATATTTTGACATATTAAACAGTGTTTTGATTTTCTCGATAGTTTACTTTCCCTGCCTCCCTCCCGGAGCTATGCTAGCCCTTGAAGTGCTTATAAGCACTGAGGAAGACATGAACCTTCCTGGTTTTGAATTCCCAGTTAACACTTAGGAGACACACTAAGAGTGAGGGCCAAGGGTCTGGGGAGAGTGGGGCAGTAATGAGAAGATGACACGGAGGTGTGGGGAGGAGGGATGTCACTGGTCTTGGAGCCAGGAGCTTGGAGCTGGCTTCCTCGATCAGGTAGCAGAAACCCCAGGCAGGCTGAGTATCTGAGAAATGCCCAGGATGTTGCTCTGC